TGGGCCAAATCGCTGCTCCATCCCTGACATCGGGGTTGTCTTCTTTGGAGGGTACCCTTTTGGGTGGGTGGTTGTAAAGAAAGACCATGTGGTGTACCTTTCCTTTTGGGAGGGTTCTTTTGGGTGGTTTCAAAGGGAAACCAAAAAGGAAAGACGAAAATCCACCTTGGGTTCCTCGTGTTGGCACAGCAAAAGGGGCTAAGCACACACACACACACACACCACCCACGCACCCACCACCCACCCACCCACGCACGTGCCGAGGTACGGCGACTGCTCCCGCCATTGCCACGCCATGCAGGCCTGGCCAAGCCGCCAAACGTCGCGGAGAAAATCCAGGTGTCGAACGGGCGCCTGACAGGCCTCCATTTGCTCAAGCCCCCAGGGAAAAATATAAATGTGTCAAGTAGTGCTAGATTTCTTTAAAACCAACAAGGAAAAACAAAATATGTTCTTAAGCAAATGGAAGCACGGGTGTCTCTTCTTTGAGGGTACCCACTTCGGCCTGGTTCTAAAAGGGGAGCCAACGGAAAACAGCCATTTGTTTTGGGTAGGCTTCATTTGAGACAAACCTACATGGCAAACCCAAATCTCGCTTCCGGGTTTAGGTGTCTTGAATATGTCACTTGTGCCTTGCAGCTCTGGAAAACTGGCAACATTCCTTGTGACTCTTCAATACTCTAGCAATGTGACCGATTCTCTGGTTCGACATTTTGTACCATCTTTGCATCTTTGAAATCTTTGCTCTTGACTGAAATGATGGTAGAAATCATTAGAAATAGACAACACCATTGACCAAGAAATGGTTTGGTTTCCGGTGGGTTTCCCTTTGTCATTCCCATCGTCTTGTTCCCGGGCCTTTGCATCCCAGACTTGGGTCACATTCGCATTGTCTTTTCTATCCTCATCTTCGTCAAGGGCAAAGAGTTCAAGGAATTCAAGATGTTGCACCAAACGTCGAGCCACATTTAAGTTGCGCCCCTTTTTCCTGCGGACCATTGTCTCGTTCCCTCCGAAGGGCGCCTTCTGCCCATCCTGACGCCTTTCGGGGCCCCCAAACCGCAGGCCTTCGGCGCTCAAGACCCGCGCCCGCAGGATGCCCCGGAAGGCGTCCCGCACGAAGCTCGGGGACAGCAGCACCGTCTGAGGCGTAGCTCTGACTCGTCGCGCATGGGGCGGCGACGGCGTGGAACCAGGCGGATTTTGTCCGCGAAACAAGGCCCAGCTCAAAACCAGGCGGGGCTGCCTCAATCTAAAGACCACTTCAAGTTTGTTTCAACCGAACTTCCCCCGCCTCCGAATGGGTAGCGTCCTGATTTTTTCCACCTCACACTTAAAGCTTGCCCACCTGCACCCCGCGGACGCCGAGCTGGTCCTGGTTCCCGGCCTTCACCCAGACCTCGCGGATTTCGCAAGTCCGACACATTGGTCTTGGGGGCAAATTGAGGTGTGCCACTGTCTTGAGGACCCTTCCTCCCACTGACGTTTCGCAGTGCGAGGCTACCTGGAAGATCAGGGGACCCTCTTGAAGGGACCCAAGGGTCAGGTGCCATGTTCTTGGGAGAGAGAGGGTACCTGTTTTGTGGCTGGTGTTTCAGGGAAAACCAAAAGGAAGACCAAGCCAACATTTCGGGGGGGTCCCCTAAAAAAGATACACACGTGTTTGTGCCGGTGAAGATGATTTGTACCCAGCTTCCCTCTTGGCTTGGACGTGGGACCTGTACTTTCACATCTATGGGTTCAAGAGCTTTGGTGCAAACCTCCAAACCACCAATTAACAAGCACCTGAATATACGCCTGAAACAAGGGAGCCCCATAAATCGCTTGCTTTCAATTTGGTTGTCCTTAAACCATCCAAAGCGGAGCCGTCTATTTTGCGGAACACCTATGTGGATGCATGTGTGTGTTTCGTTGAGGGCAATTACTCTTTTAGCTCGGAGTGATTCGCAGCTGAATGCTTTGCGGCACACTTCCAGCTCAAAAGTCGCAACCTGTAAGAGCAAAGATTCCTACCACAATGCCCCTGTTGGTATGGCACAAGCAGGAAAACGACTCGGCAGATTATGCACACGCGGAGTGTGCTACTCTTGCCGACCTCTCTGCTTTCAATTGCCCTCTTTCCAATGTTAGAAGAGGCGCCTTCCCCAAAAAGCCAGGTAGTCGTCCAAAACCCTCCCGTCAGCTTATTTGATTCTTGAAAAGGGTGTACGGGTGCGTCTGAAAACGTCTGAAAATGGCTGACTAAAATCGCTAGTGTCCTTTTAACCCTTGGCTTCCATTCAAACAGTCTCTCAATGGCGTCTCTCGTCGACGTCACTCTAGCCTCAATTACGTTCCTCCCTCTCGCTCCCTCTCTCCTTGCCATCTTTCTGGGAAAGTATCTTGAGTGATCCTGAAGGAATCCTTCGCTCTTGCTTCCGTGGTCAAAAGTGTTTGACACTTTTGGGTCGCGCACTTTGCATCACTTCTTGCTCACTTGCCACTTTCGCGCCCTTGCGCTGCGCAACAGCCGCAATGCTTGAGCAACAGAGAACGGGGTCCTGGACAAAGTTGAAATAGTGGTTCCAACAAGTGTCTCAGCTAGTCAAAGGGCACCAATGAACCCCTGTTCAGGCCCTTCTTGTGTAAAGTGCTCTTTAATTATCCAAATGTGCCACGGTGAAGCGCTGAGCTTCACCTGCGAACTCCTGACGCGCAGAACCCCCAGAGTCTGTGTAGGAGAGAGGAGAAGCGTAGACTCGAGCGAAGAGTTGCGCTTTTGAGCCTGTGAAACAGAGTAGAATGAGCAGAGTAGAATTGGGTGGAAACAAATCTCTGAGACGACCAGGTGAGTGTGGGTCAAAAATAGGTACCCAAAATGGAACTCGGGTAAATGGAAACAAGAACAAAAAACTGCGGTCCCCTGGTGGTGTATTTTTGACCCATACCCAGGTGAACCCTTCGAAGGGTTTGCCGTCCAGGCACGCCCTGGGCGCGATCAATCTCCGTATAGGCGTCGAAGGAGAAGCCTGCCATGACCTAGGGGCTGCAAGCGAGACCGGAACCATCCGGCTCAGGCACAAGGGGAACATGGGGAGGAAGACCGATAAATCCACGTTCGGGTCCAAATTCCGATGACGAGCCATGCCCGATTGGCTGTCCTGAGAGAAGCACAGCACCCCCCAGGCCCAAACTGCCTTTGTCAATTCCAAAGCCAGCACGGGATAGAAGAATCACACCACTTTCAGCCAACCAAGACCAGCAAAAACACACCGTGACACCCCCATAGAAGCGGCTTTCCTGGGCACGGCGCCAAGCAAAGCTTCAAGTCTGGGAAGTCCACCTCGAGAAGTGCCCGGTGCCCCAGCTCCAGCGAAACCCTTCAGATGGAAAGGTCCCTTCTGAGGAGTCCAGCACAGGCGCCCTTGTTGACAACTCTAAGCCCAACCCACACAAAAACACAAAAACGCAAACTCCTCCTTGCCTGCCTCTACTGAGTCCCCGCGGGATATTTTCTTTCTGACCAAAAACAACAATCAAAAGACGGAGGGGCTTCGGCATCCAAATCGCCCGGTTTGAAGCTGCGGCCAAACAAGAACGACCGCAGCTCGGGTCGTGGCCTCGCCCTCGCCCTCGCCATCCGACTGCCAGGATCGGTCGTCAGCGTCGTCAGCTCTGAGCTGACCTGCGGCTCGGGTTCTTCGCTCGAAGTAACCTTCGGAAACCCCGCCTCGAGGCTTCTTTGACCTCCTGCGCGACCTGTCCAGGCATCCCAGTGACCGTCTAGTCGCTGAGTTGGCTTTTCATTGTATATAGTATATGTAACTATGTTTAGAACATGTGCCTCTGACCGCTTGGGGGAAGAAGAAAAAACAACTGCCAGTGTGCCTATGACAACTTGGCAAACGGGGCACATGCTGCCGGCCTCGCCAGCGCCAGGCCTGCTGGAACCTAGTTGCAGACTCATCAACTGGCGACCAAAAAGCTCCCGGCAAGCTCCCGGCCAGGAGGGCGGCATTGGCCTTGGAGAAGCTGAGGTGTTTGTAACGCGCTCATGTGTTGTTTTGAACCCAGAGGCTCCTGATTGATTTAGGGCCTTCAAACAACCTAGTTTTGAGACCCTCAACCACCTCCAGGGTGTGTAATGGAGGGGTCGGGTCTTCCATTGAAAGCCCCAGGAGCCTCTGGGAAAGGAGATTCAGAGCCAACACCAAGCAATCCTGACATCTTCTCTTCTGAACTCCAGGCTGCACCAACCCTCACCGATCGCAGTAGGGAACCGTCTACATTGGAGTTTAGGTCAGACCATGGTGGCCTTTCCTGCGCGCCAACGCCCGTTTCGCTCGCCCCGTTTGGCAGCGAAGAGAGACCTCCGAGGCCGACACCAGCGCGCTCCGCCCCGAAACTCGCCGCGCGCGCGGCGCGGGAGCCGCGGGAGCCGCGGACGGACCCGCCGCGGAACCGCGCGGCAGCTCCGCGCGCGCCCGGGCGAGGGGGACCTGAGGCCGAAGTGGTCCGAAAGAAGAGGCGGATAGACAGGCCTGCGAAGCCCTGTACATCATGGCATCAGTCCCCTCAGTGGAGTTTCTTTGCTTGGCTGAGAGGTGGTGCGGCTCTTTTCTCTGAGTTCCCTGGAGCTTCTTTACGTGGCTCAAAGATGCTCTTTCTCAGGAAGGCTGCCATCCAAAACCTTTTTTGTGCCGATTGGTCCCATTGCTCGTGGCAGCTCACTTCTGCGTGTGCTTGAGTGGCTGATGGAAGACGCTGCGGGACGCACACTCGAGCTCCCTTCCCACTGGTGGTTTGGATTGGTTTGGAGGCTAGGGGATGGGAAACCCCATTTACCCTCCACAAGAACCAACCAATCCACAACCTCCAAACCACCAATCAGTTGGGTGGTTTGGATTGGTGAGTTGGATTGGTTGTGGTTTACCCTCCACAAGAACCAAAGGTTCAAATCCCCAACCAATCCAACTCACCAAGTAAGGATTGCCATAAACTGCGCGCAGCTCGCCGCCCACCTCGGTCTCGCCAATGAGTCCGAATCGGACCTTATCCTCGGGTTGCAAGTCTGGCGTGCTCGCACCAAGCAGACCGGCCTGGCCTCGTAGGATAAGGACGACATCCCGCCTCGCATCTTAAAGCGGCACACAGCAGTGTGGCTCGTCAACATCGGGGTTCAAATCCCAAAAAACTGGTGTGATTCCTGTTGGTGCTCAAATACACCAACCCGAGAGCAAAATAGGGGACCCCCACAAGAAAAGAATGGCCTTTCACCACACTTGCCCACAAGATGCTTTTGTCAGCGGCACTTCTCGTCAAAAGGCTGCGAACTGCCTCGCCTGCGTCTGCTTCTCGAGCAAAAGGCTCCTTGACGAATGCAGCTAATGCTATATGGGCATGTCTCAAACCCTTTCTGCTTTGCGTTTCTTCAGGAAGCCAAAAACGAGGCAATTGTCAAGGGTCCCTAATATTGAAAAAAGTCCTAAATGGGGTTGTCTCGAAATGGGGACCTTCAAGTTTGGCTGTGTTCCTGCTGTTTCCCTTGCAACCGATCCAAAAGGGTGCCCTTAAACAAGACACACCAAAATGCCATCTGAAACTCATAGACGCATCGACATTCACGCACCCTGCCTCGCTCGAACCACCGTCCAGGTGCCTCAAAATCGGGCTTCGGGGCAACTTCTCGGATTCTGCCTGTTGGGACAGATGAGCTGGTTCCCTGTTTCATGGAGTTGCTTCTTGGTGGCAAGACCAAAAGAAACATCAAATTTCTGGTTCAGATCCAACTCGCTATCTCAGCAAGCCATACCCAAATGAATGCCCAGGAAGTGTTCCGCCGCCCAACACGCCGCCCATCCCCCTTTTGCCCGTGTTGAGAAAAATCCGGCAGTGTCTTCTTCACGTCCGCATGAGGACTCGGCGCCGCCAGCGCCTCGGTCTTTCTCTGCAGCTCCATCACCCGACACGCCTGGCTCGCTCGCCCATAACCCGCTTCTCCTCTCCGCTGAGTCATCAACAACATGATACTGTGGATTGACGAAATCCTGCACCACCTAAAAAACCCTGGAATGACAATTCCCCTCCAAATACCAACAAGCAATGGCTTCCCATGGTTTCGAAGTGGTGCAGGATTTCGTCCATCCACAGAAGCAAAAGTGCTGTACCACGCAAACGACCAACAAGGCGGCCTCACCTATCCGGAACTAACTCTTCACTTATCTGGGCTGTCAGATAGCCTGCTAAAGGTTTTTCACTTGTGGGTTATAAATGGAACCTGTTTTTTCGTCTTTTGAGGTTGCCACGTCCGATGTTCGGCGGCGCCAGCAAATGAATCCTGTTTATAAATGGAACCCCCATAAACCCGAAAAAGCTCGGTGGACGTTGCCAGCGCCCAGCTCTCGTGGCGCCCCCTTTGGCCCCGAGGGGCCTGCTCTTGAGCGACGGCGGCGGCCTGCGTCATGAGGGCAACCTCAGGTTGCCGCACTGAAATCGGAAAAATATTTTGGCGGGGTGGTTTCTCTCCCAAGACCAAGCTCAATAGTTAGGGGGGGGGGGAACCAAAAAAGAAACGGCTTGCACGAAAGCCACATCGAAATTGGTGGAAATCCAAGCCCATGCCAAAGAAACTCCTCGAAAGACTTCAAGCGCTCGGCCTCCCTCCTCTTCTGCTGCAGGAACTCCAACGGGTCATCGCCTGGCGCAAAAAAACAACCTGCCCCCCTCCCCCACCAAAAAAAAGAAGCCATCAGCTGCCTGCATCATCGGCTTCCATGGCCATCTGGCCGCGCGCCGCCCCAAATCTGGTCTCCCTCGCTGCGGGCGTCGAAACCGTCTGACCCCCGTGCCCGTGGTGGTTTGTCTCAAAGGAATCCGACGGTGCCCTCAAATGACGTGGCAAGACTCAGAGCTCATGCAAGCGCCGATGAAAAGACTTGGGTCGAGACATGTTTGTTGTCTGTGCCCATTCAAAACCAAAGCTTAGTTGAAAGCGTAGATCATGACCTCGTAAACGGGAGCAGCTTTGCACACAAACAGCAAAGCAGAGAGAAACAAAGAAGCGCAACCACCGTGTCTTGCAAAAAATGACTACGGGTTGTTGTTGAAGAAGCTGGGAGTCTGGATTTCCAAGGCAGTCCTCTCCTCGCATGTCGCCCTGTTTTTGCTGAAAATCCTTGCCCTGTACTGTACAAGGGCCGCCATGTGCGGCCGAAAACGAGATGGCCATCTCGGGATTGGCCCACCCTTACTTTGGCCGGTGTCATGTGGCGCAACTGCAGCCCACCTCTTCTTTGAAACCGCAGGGTTTTTGGATATCTCGAGACATCCTCATTGTCTTCAGTCTTGCCGAAGGCTTCGATGAGTTGATTCCGAAGTGGTCGGTGTCCTTTTTGTGCCCCCTTTGAAACCAGCCAAAAGAGGACTCCCTCAAAAGAAGACACATTATATTTACAGAAAAGGCAGAGGCAGCCGTTCCGGGACAGTCAGCAGGCGAACTCCGGGAGCGCGGGCTGTAGGGGCTTGTCATGGATCTTCGGGCATACGGCTGTGTCTCATGTTTCATTTCGGGATTATTTCAAGGGGAAACCATAGGGAAAACGCCAATCTTTGGGGTTCCCTATTAGAGGCAGGCCCGTCAATGACAGCCCATCCAAGAAGCCGTCCCACAGCAATGCTTCGCATGCCCCCGCGAGCACATCTCGTGGCACGAGACGAGCGCTTCATTCTTTGTAGCCATCCACGACTTCCCAGGGTAAGTCAAATCTGGTACTATCTGCAAACACGCAAGTTAAGGTCCTTAGTTGTCCGCAAGCGAAACGCAAAAGCACGCAGGCAGGCGCCAAACAACTGCAAGAGAAACAATCTCATGCAAGTTGTTTCATCCCTCAATGCATCTGATCATCTCGTTTGCAGAAGAGGCACTTGTCGTTGAATACTTTCTCAATGATACACTCCTTGCGCAGACACATGTGCAAACACTTTACTACGAGGGTAATAGCTTCATCTCCCGGACTTTTGACATTATTCCCCGAAACATGAGCAGGGTAGATGACCATCCTCGACCTGCTGATGGGGCCCAAGCGAGCAATTTGGTCATGGGGTTTAATGGTTGAAACCCTCGCAAATGGTCGGCACACATAAATGGGTGTGTCTTTCTTGGGGGACCTCATTAAAATATCTTCGGCTCGCCTTTTGGTGTTCCGTTTTCAAGCCGCCAGAAAGAGGCTAGCCTCCAGAAAAAAGCACCCAACTTCGATCACGCCAATGACCGCCTCCAACTTCCACGGCCCAGTCCTCCCCCCTCCGAGTCCACTTCTCGGCGGTGTAGCCGTTCAGCGACTGCGCCTCAAAAACCGAACATCCGCGCAGATCGCAGGGAGTCTGCCGACGTCCTGTGGATTCTGCCGACACGTTGGTGGAGTCCATTCTCAGGCCCGGTATCCAAGTTTTCAAATTGCTTGCGATGGGCACCTGGCTGTGGGTCAAAAAAAGGTACCCAAAATGGAAACCTGGTAAATGGACACAAAGACTAAAAATTGTGGTCCCGTGGTGGTTTAATTTTGACCCACAGCCACCTCCCTCCAAGCCCCTCCAAAAAAGCGTGGCCGGCACGAGTGGCCGAGCCCAGATCTGCACGCCAGCCAGGCGCCGCGCCGGGAACCGCTTGAAGGCGCCGCGGAAGGCGTTGTCGTCCTGCAACAAGACTTGGGGCTCGAACGACGAGGACCTACCGCACCTTGCAAAAACCTGGGCCCTGGAAAATGGCAGGATCTTGGTTCTCAGGTTCCGGGAATGAGTGGCGAGCTGATTCCCATTCCGATCAGAAGAAAAAACAAAAGGCGGCTGCCCAAGGTCCCCAAGATCCATCTTCTGAGAAGCAGCAAACCCCACTTCGCGCCGGAGAAAAAAACGAAATAAGAAGAAAAAAATAAAAATAAAAACGCAAGATCGCCTTCAGGAGGCGCACGCGCTCACCGGGCAGAATGAAGGCACCTCGGAATCGAAAGGTCTGGATCGCCTGAAGGAACTTCCAGTTCTCAAGATGGGGGCTGCTTCGACCAACCTTCTTCGGGTAAGGGAACCCAAAGAAGCGTGCTGCCATCTTAGGGACCCCCGATTTTGATGCTTGATGAACCCCCAAGTTTCACAACTTGGAGGGTTGGCAACCCCGCCGCACAAAGCTTTTCTTGTCGCTCCGACCAGTCGCTGGGGCCTTCAGGCCACCAACAAATCAATGCAGTGCCCCCACAAAAGCCTCGCTGAAAAAACTGAGGCCACCCTTTCGAACGCCTCGCAGCTTCCGCATCCGCCGCCGAAAGCGGAAGCGCGGCTCGATTTTTGCAACTGGACAGCTTCACGGTTTCCGTGAGCTCAAGTAGCACCGCGCGAAGCGAGCAAAGCAAGGCGAGCGCATCCCGATTAATACTAAGCATATCTCATAGGGCGCGTGGCGGTGCCTTTCTGTGAAGTGTGAAAGCGGATGTCTGAAAGCACTCAAGCTATGATCATGCAACAACTTTCAGCACCCATGAACCCCGCAGCTACCGCTCAGTGCCCAACTTTACCTTGGCAGGTCCACATGGTCATGAACTTGACCGGCAAAGCAAAGCTGCGGCTTGGCTACAGGGAAGTTAGACACCCGAAAAACAGAGGTGCGTCGAAAAGGGATTTGGACCTCCGTTGGCCCCTGTCCACCCACAAGGGGACCGAGCCTCAACAAAACACGGCCAGATCACAACCACGATATACAACTGTGTGTGTGTGTGTGCGTCCATGTTACGCCCTCAAGCCTTTGCAGTCTTTGCAGCGTGCTTCTCCAAGCAGTCTTTGACCTGGCTCTGGCTATCCAAGCTCAGGGCACGGCTTTACGGTCTTCCGGCTACAGCCAAGAGACCAGGCATAGCTTCTAAAATGGATCCACTAGAAATTGGAATTTTGGGCGCTGCTCATGAACAGCCCCAAACATCTTCCGGCCATGTGAGGAATCGTGACTTGCCTTTCGGGATCGATACTTCCCTCCCTCCCGCCGACTCAAAAGCTCACTTCAACACTGGTGTCAAGTCTGTCAAGTCTCCCCTTTAAAACTCACTTGACAAGCTTTCACCATTCCAAATCCTATTTCTTTAAAAAATAAGCTCGCTTTCGCGCCGAAGCAGTGAGCGCGAAACCCGTGAAATAGGCAAACTCGATGGAACCATGGAAAATAACCTTTCTACGACGCCAAAGTTGGCGATTCATAACCCAATTGATTATGAATTAGGATTGGCAGCACTCCATTTGGCAGCAAACCTCTTTGAGGCAATCCAGAAGAGACAATGTGGTGGACCAAGGATCACTTACTGTGATACTCACTTATGATACTTTCTTTGAAGTGACAACCCACACAGGCCACTTTCGAAAAGGACCTTGCAAATTGCCTTCGGAACAGACAGATAAAAAGTGGACTACGTTCAAGCCCTTGGCACATCAGCGAACAATTCTGTTTTTGCAGCCACTCACCAAAATGAACAGAAGCAAAGAACCAGAAAAACACTTGCCAAGTGAAGGTCCCTCCAATCCGATCGGGTGTCAAATGACCACCTGGTGGAGATGTTCCGAAGGACCGAATCCTATGGCTCCAGCCTTGAAACGGTGGACTTCCTGAAGGCAAACCCCAAGTTCCTAGCCGCTTAGCTTGGCTGAACAGCCATCTATGTATCAATAAGAATGGTGCACCCCAAAAAATCAGGACTTCAGCCTTCCGTCTGTCCCTCAAACCCTCCCAGATAAGGGTACGCTAGATAAATGGCACCCCCGGAGTCATCAACCCCAGCTTGCCATCTGTTCTTGTCTTTGCTTCAACCCCAGATTCCCGAAAAAAAAATACACTGTTCCTTCTCCGAAGATGTCCGCCTTTTGCGCCCCGCACTTCGTGAAAACCCGTCGACTCGAGGCGAAAATCCCCGCGCGCCCCGAGGCTCGGGCGCTGCCCTCGAAGCGCTCCACGCTGGCCCCGGTCCACTGGGCCACGATCTCGCCCCCGTCCTCCCCGCGGCGGAACATGAAGAAGGCGGGAGACACCTGGCGAATTCGGGAAACCCACAGATTCGGGAAACTCGCAAATTGGAGAGAGTTGCAAAGAGAACGGAAAAAGAGAAAACTAGTTCAAGCAAGCGAACGAGCGAACGAGCCAGCGAGCCAGCGATCAAGCCAGACAGACAGGCAGACAGGCAAACAGGCGGACAAACGGACAGACGGACAAGCGGCCAAACGGACGGAACAGAACAGAAAAGTTGCAAAGAGTGAACGAATCTGGTCCTGGCCTATTCTGCTCCGTTCTGCCCATTTCCATTTGTCCGTTCCGTCTGCCTGTCTGGCTCGCGCGCTTGCTTGCTTAGTTTGTCTTTCCAAAAAAATAACATGGAAACTTGCGCGAAGATTGGAGAAGAAAAAAAGGATGGGGGAAAAGTTGGACTGACCTCCAGCCACAAAACCGAAGAAAAAGCGAAAAGCCGGCTAAGGCGGCCTTCACCCCCAGCTGCTTGGTGCAGAATTCCATGGCCCCCACCGTGCCGTTGCCCACCAGCTCCACGAAGCGGATCTCAGGATACTCCTAAGGAGCCAGGGCCCATCTGTGTCCCCTTAAAACACCAAGGGACTCTCACCTTTCGTGGTTCCCCAAAAAGGTGATGTGATAAAGTATAGGGACCCCGAAAAAAGACCCTCCCGAGTGGCTTTTTCCCCCTGGAGACATCAAATTTCAGGGACTCTCATGGGCCAGAGGACCCCAAAAAAAAACACTCAGTTGCCAAGGTGATGTGCTGAAAGCCGCCAGAACGGGAACTTTTGGGAACCAATGCGAAGACCGAAGAGCTGAGTGTTTTGAAAGTGGAACCCTCCGTCATACGGACTTGAGAAAAAGTATGGAGGGGGGCTTCCATGGGAACCTTATGGGGACCTGGACAGGTTCCCAAAAAACGGAAAATCGGGGAGTGGGGGGGGGAGAATATGCAAAATATCTAAATGATGTCCACAAATATGGGGCAGATTCCAATTGTCTTTGCGGTTGGACACACCAAAGGGACCCAACACTGCTGCTCACGGATTCCAATTGGGTAGTTCTCAAAACGGATGGTCATGGACAACTGGAATAAGCTCAGGTGATATCCCCAACAGCAGGCGGTGCTCTTTTCAGTGCTCGCCGTGGAACCTTGGTGGAACCCTGGTCAAACCCTGGTCAAACCCTGGTGGAACCCTGGTAGAACCCTGGTGGAACCCTCGTGGAACCTTACCTCAGGCCGCCCCGGACCACCCCGGAGCCTATCTGGGCTGAGACCCCAAAGCTTTTAGCGTTGGGGAAACATACTTTAGGGGCATCATGACCATGGCTCAAATGGAGCTTCTCGGGATGGTGAAGCCCCAAATATGCAGGAATGCAGGGCATCCTCCTTTGCGATTCGGTGTTAAAGGAGAACCAACAGGAAACAAGCCATTTTATCGTAATATGCGAAGAAAAGGTCCAATAGACATCGGTGAAACATCGAGTTGCTCCCCCTTTCTTGTCCAGAACCTCCAAAGGCACGAATCCGCACACATGGTTATTTGTTTCTGGGTGCCTTCTTGGATACGTTCAAAAAAATACGGCTAACCCCCCCCCCCCCCAAAAAAAAAAGAAGAAGAGAAAAGTTGAACCCAAATGGGAGTATCATTTTTGTTGGGAACTGCTTGGCCAGTTTCCAAGGGAAAATGGGACAGCTGATTACATTGTCTGGGGTCCCCCCAAACAAACTGACTCTCACTCACTCACAACGGCGCTCTGGCAAGTCAGTGGCCCCCCCCTCCTCCCGGAGTAACCCGAACAGGAGGTGTTTCCCAAGACCACTCTCAAATGGCCATGATTTTTAATAAGGAACCACCTCGAAAATGGTTGGCGGGCATAAATCCCCACCTAAATAGTAATCACCACAGGGTCCCTGATTTATTTATTTATTCATTTATTTATTTATTTATCTATTTATTTATTTATTTATCTATTTATTTATTTATTTATTTATTTATTTATCATTAATAATAAAAAGAGACCCCCCCAAGTGGGAAGCCCTCCCTCCATCCGCCGATCGAGGTCCTGGGAGTACTTCCGCCACTTGGGCTCGAAGGAACGGCAGCTGCGGCAGAAGGTAAAGGTCACCTCCGGTTTCAAATGGGTCGAAATCCAAATCGTACCAGTGAACATCCCAATCCAACCACTAAAATAGACTGAACATGGGGAAGAAGAACAAAATAAACGTCAAACGGCTGTGGGTCAAAAATAGGGTAACCCCAAAATGGCTTGCCCTGGAACATGGAAACACAGACTAAAACCAGCGGTGCTCTGGTGGCTTAATTCTGACCCATACCCAAATGAGTACCCTTCCTCCCACTAACATGGCACCTGACAGGGGATCCCTACAAGAGGAAATCTATCTTGCAGGGACCCTCCCACAGGTGCTATGTTAGGCGCGGGTGCCCCGGAAAGGGCGGGGGAGGGGAAACTTGCGAACCCCACTGGCTGGCTTCCTGTTGGTGATCCTTGAAAATGGTGACAAGGGGGGTCCATTGCGCCATGGTCAAAAATGCGTTTTTTTCTACAGGACACGTCCGGCGGCATGGTCTCTTTGGACGCAGTCGCAACACGTGAATAAGGCCACACGAAATTTTGGGCAAAGTGAATGCTAGTCTATAGTGCTGAATTTTGACCGCTCATTCCAATATGTCAAAATCAGGAATCGGGCGTAAAAATGGCTTGGCGTTCAGTCTTTCAACCAACACCGAAAGTACCGATCCGCAAAGAAACACAGACTCTTCTTGACCCAAAGGGCTATCATCCAGGGGTTTGCCCTGGAAATCCACCCGTGGAAGCCTGCGAGGAAGGCCTTCTTGCCAAACCCATTTTAAGTTGACGGGTTTGGGTTCCATGCCCAGGGAGTCTAACATTTGTTGGGCGGGGCGGGGGGGAAACCTGACCCTTTCCCAGCACGGGTCACATGTTGGGGAAAAGTGATGGCACAACGCCCCCATTTTGGCTTCATGCCCTTTACTTGCCAAGGGAGTTGTGCCATCTATGTCGTCTGGGTTGCTCGCCCCCAGACTAAAAAGGGTCTACCCTTTTCGACCACCCATGACATCGAAAAACAGTAGACCTCCACATCAGCCAACAGGTGAGAAGCTATCCCGGGATAAGCCTGCCCAAGATGAGCCAAGCATAAGCTGCTCAGAATGCCTTACAAAACGGATTGATAGGTGATCCCCCGCCATTTGCCACCTTGGAGGTCCTCACCAGGCAACAGCCACCGCAACTCGCAACTCCGCGCCTTCAGCAGGACCAACGGGCCGAAGCCGTTGGGAGGGTTCAACTCGGCGCCCGAGTTGAGCGACCCGAAACTCATGGACTCGCAACAGGCGTCTCATGAAACATAGCATCATGGATCCATGAAACCATGGGATGTCAACATCAACATCATGGGTTGTCTAGGATCCATTGACTTCCGGACAACCCATGAAACATAGCATCACCTATGGATCCACTCAGAATCGGCAAAGCGAGCGCTCTGCATCCTTTTTCCCAGTCGGTGGTGGTGGGGACCCGCTGTTAGAGGGAAGCCAAAAGGGAAACCCCCTTAGGGGACCATTCTGGTAATATGGGGGCCCAAACCAGCGGATTTCCCCTCCTTCAACACGAATCCGAAACAGTCCTATCTTTGTCTAATTCATGAGACACGGAGAAAAAAAAAGAGAGAAAAACAAACACACACACACACACACACACACAAGAACAAAAAACAACTAAAAAACATGTTTCGGTTTCTTTCTGGGCTCGTCTCGGTTTTAGACTCCATTTGTTTGGACCGATGGATCGGTTCCTTCGGTGCCCAAGCCACGTTGGTGATGATGGTCTTCCATGCCTTCGCGCTGGTGGTCACCACGCAGCGCGCCTCGCGCGGGGCTTTCGCCGCGGGCGGGGTGAGAAGGCCGCGGTCCGTGCTGGGGGGTGAAAATCCCGAAGAAGCCAAAGGCAAAGCAAGAGAAAGTCCCCCAAACAGAAAAGAAAGCGCCTTGGTTTGTTTGGCACACCCCAAAAAAACATGGCAGCTCTCGGGTGTCCCACTCCCTCCAACTTTCACACGGTGGCGAACTCCGCCTCATTCACGTGGTGGGACCACCACACCATGAACTCATCAAAGGAGACCACGCCGTCGTGGGAGGTGTCCAGCTCTTCCACCAGCTGATCCACGTCCCGGTCGAAGCCCAGCAACGTCAGGGCCCGGCAGAGCTCCTACGGGGCGCGGTTTGCGTTTTGCGCGCGCCGCGTGGTTTCGGGGCTTGGGCCGTTCCCACCAATATGGGACTTGTTCGGATGGTTTCCCTTTTGGTGTCCCTTTAAAAAAAAAAAAAAAAAAAGTTCCTTGAAAAAGGAAAATCCCCAAAAGGGGAACCCGCAAAAAAAAACAGGCGTGCCCATTTTTTTGTGGTTTGGAGCCCTTTTTTTTGTGGCAGGGTGGTTTCCCCACAAGAAGCCAAGCCTTCAACTCCAACTCCGAACCACCAATGCAAACCAGCAGGGGTTTGGATTACTCAGAACCCAAGCGCCTCACTTTTGAGTAAAGCACAAGCAACATGAGTGGGAAACCCCATGTCCCCTCAGCCAGGAAATGAAATCCAAAACCACCAACGAAGGGATCTCTGGAAAGGTGTGTATTGATGTTGGGGCTTCAGCACCATTATTTATTAAATGAGTTTCATCATCTAAATTGGGGCAACCATTCTTCCAATGGGGGGTTGAACTCAAAAGGTATGTGTTGGGTGACCAATTCGTTGAATCGGTTCAATCACACATGGGCTTCAAATTATGGTGCTACACTTACACACATGGTGTAAGCTGGAACCTGTTTACGGAACCCATGTGTGAAAATAGAAGCGCACTGAAAGGGAAACAAAACCCCCCATTCTGTTGGACACTTGGTTCAAACATACGGCCTCAAAAATGTGGGTGGCTTTTTTTTTGGGGGTTGTCATTTGGGAATGTGTCGAAATCTGGATTTGGACCCACATGCGAGTTTCCCCTTTTTGCTTCCCTTAAAACCAACCCCAGAAAGGGTAGCCTCAAACCAAAACACACACGCCCAAACGACACCATGAGTCGAAATCAACCTCAGCACCCAAAAACCCATGGACTCGCGCACCTCAGCTTGTAGCTTTCCATCTCCGTCCTCAGCTAGCACAAAATAAAACCTTCCGAGTCGGCAGGATCTGGGTGTCTGTTTTTAGGAATCCCTGGTGGTTGGCTTTGAAGGGAAAGCAAAAGGAGACCAACCAGTTCGGGGGTACCCCTACCGCCTTCTTCGGAACACGCTCCGAACCCTGGAGAAGCGCACGCCAAGTGTCCACATCCATCTGGTCAAAGATGGCCTCAATCGGTTCCATCGCCCAAAAGATTGCGTCCCATGAAAGGACGTACACCCCAAGGGATTGCTCCCTTGGACACTGAAACGGAACCCCGGGCCTTTCCCCCCAAAAAAAATCCTCCACAAACACCTGTGACAACCCATCCCGCCAAACCCCCATGAAACCACTTAGAAAGGCGGAAAGCCACTCAAACGGGTGTCACAAACATGTGGTGGTGCTTCTCTTGCTTGCCCGTTTAAACCAAGGTGGTTACCATTTCTGTAACTTGCTGGTTCGATCGGAAATTCACTAAAAGGGCTTGGCTGGCAATCCGCAAGAAAACAAGGGATGCTTCCCTGGAAACGGCAAGCTGATTCACCCTCACATCCATCCTGTCACCTAGTTATTCATTCTGCCCTTAACCTGTAACTTTCCCTTCAGCAACCCTCCCCAGTGACTCTCCTTCGGTAGGTTCGAGTGCATGGTGCTGCTTTTGGATTTAACGAGTTCCACCTGAAGTAAATGATCTCCTGGTAGAGCACCTACATCATTGCCCCTTTTGCCGATCGGAATCGCTCGACAACCATAAAATCGCTGCAGTTTTCACTGCACCTTCGACCTCACCCAGGGGTCACTGGATCCCTTTCCTGCCAAAAGTGGCAGTTTACTGCTGGGTTTCTCACAAAACTCCGCCTCTTCGGTCCAAAGACACTCCATTCCGGGACGTTTTTTGACCTCACTTTGCCTCACGCCCCCACGCCCCCGCCCCACGCACGCACCCCGGCGAGAGCTCGGAGAGCTCGCCCCGACAAAAAGAGACCATTCTCACTTGCCTTCCAGAGCTCTCGCCGCTCGCCCAAAACGCCGAGGCGAGACCGAGGCGCGTGGAGCTGCACCTTGGACAAGGACTGCAGGATCTGGGCGTCGTTCAGGACCCCGTCCAAGGCCCGCTGTGCCTCTACCCAAGAAAAGCGGCTAAAAATGTTTGCAAAGGTCGGAAAAAGGAACACCCTCCGCCGAGAAATAACGAAACAACAACACCCTTTGCACGAGAAATGGCCAAACCAGCGAATTCCACCGGCTTTTCTCTTTGCCATACAAGCACCCATGTCTTCTTCTTCTGCCTTTCGTCCGATCCACGGCACTTCGATCGACGGATGGGAGGATCGGAGGATCGGAGCGGCGCCTGGTTGATCTGCAGCTCGAAGATCGAGGCCAAGGCGATGCCCCGCACGATGTTGGCCTCCTGCTCGAAGGGCGCCACCACCAGGTCCGCGCCCCTGCCGAAGGCCGAAGCCGCCACTTCGAAGCCGAAGGAGAAAAGTCAAAAAACTGTTTTTTTCTTCGGCGTCTGGTTGTTTTTTTTTTGGAAAATTTCGTGTTGGTGTGGTTCTTGTTGGTTTGCTTGCGCCCATGAGAATCGATCTTTTAGTTGGTGTTCGTCTGGTTGTGGCATTCTTTCCCCATGAAAGAAGTGGTTTGTTGGTTTTCGTGCTTGCGTGTTGCTGTGTTTTGCCATGAGCCAGGGTCAGAGTTTAGAAATCGTTGCCCAGGCTATGGGGAAAACAGCAGAGCTCGTCCCCAGGGTTTTGCGGGAAACTTGGTGAGTCCAAAGGTCCTGTGCTGTGTCTTGGTGAAAAGTGCTTGCCAGGCATTGCAACCGAGTCAAGAGAGGATGGATGAAGGTGAAGTAAAGATCGTCGGGTGGGACTCCTAGCGGCTGTTTGTTGGGGTCAGACTTTTGACCCGCAGAGTCTGAACCGACCCATCGATCTGACCCTTATCTTCGCTTCCAAGTTTCATCCTTGGACCCAGGGAATTGGGTGTGTCTCAAGATGGGCCCGGTTTCTTTTGAGGCTACCCTTTTTGGGATTCTGGCGGCAAACGAAGGGGAAACCACCCATTCAACTGGGGTTCCACTATAAAACACGTTCGCAGGCCCCCAGTGCGTCGCGAAGGTCCACGCCATGCCTGCGCCTTAAAATGGCTAAGCACCTGCTTGTCTAAAAAACGGGAAACAATGGGGGGGGTGGTTTCCCATTCTGATCCACAGGTCGCCGCCAAAACGCTTCCCCAAAAAAGCCCGCCGCCTCTCCGTAGCCACCTGACGAACCTTCGCCAAACGGCTCGGCGCGCGCAGCGCCTCCCGCGAACGGCGATCGCAGCGCCGCTGGTTCTGTTTCTGTCTAACATGGCACCCACCAAGGTCCCTGTCCTGTGAGTAGATGGGAGGATATCTGTTGCTTCCTTAGTTTCTTCTTCCCAGTTGATCAAAATTGCCCCCAAATGACCCTGGGTAACTTTTCCCATATGACAAACCGCGTTCCTTTTTTGGGTTCCAAAGGTCATCCCATGTAAAGGACCTTGTCCCATGGCTCCCTGGCCCCGGTCCTCCGAGATGCCGTTGTCCGCCCGCGCCATCCGGCCAGTGGGAACCAGCACCAGCCGGTCCAGGCCTCAGCCAGCGCCATCGCTCGTTGCTCTGGAACCCTTTTTGGTGCAAAGGGGAAGAAATGGAAAGCCCGCCAAGAGGCTTCACTATTGGGTGGGGGAACATCCTTTAAAATATATATATATATAATCACCCGTTTGAAGACAAACCCCGTTTTTGCTAGCCAACCGCTGGGTGTAGGTCGGGACCCATCAACCAACAACTCGGCTCCCAACACGGAAACCGACCCAACTCTGAGTGGTGAAACACCTTACAGAAACAATGCTTGAGATTCGAAGCATCATTTGATGACCATCCCTGAGAAGCGAAGTGTTGACCATTGCATGGTTGGTTTCATCATGTCCCCGCCAATCCGGGTTGGAACTGTGGGCGCCTGCTGGTCAAACAAAATTCCTTCCCTTCCAAATTCCATGTCTGCATTCACAGAGGAACTGGAACCATGCGGTTGGACCCGCAGCTATTCAGGACCCCTCGTGAATTCCAAAAGGAGCGCCCGTGACAGTGTTTGGAGGTTGTAGAATCTGGGCATCTGCGTATCGCTCGTCAAAATAGGGAGTTGCCTCTAAACCAACCTGAAACAGGCGCCCGCAGTCGTTGCAAGGCGAGCAACAACTACATATAGCAGTTCGCTGCAGGCGGGTATATAGAACTTAGCAATCCTGCGTTGAAAACCACTTTGGCCCGCAAGTTTGATCACTCCAAGCCTGCAGCTGGCTTCATCGGGAAATGTCAGGAAATCTAGGGAAATACATGAACATAGGGGGATGCCGGTGTGTTTTTGTTTTCGGACCTCCCACCTCACAAAAAAAAAAAAAAAAAAAACACGCACCTCCCATGTTCTCCCCGGGCCCCGATCGATCCCGTCCTTTCGTCTTTTCTCCCCCCGAAGCGAAGCTCGCCTGAGGGAAGCGAGGAGGTGATCTCCGCCAGGTGGTCGTCCAAGGTGGTGGCCCACTCCCCGAAGCCCTCGGCGCCTGCGTCGACAGGCAGGCGATGAAGGGACGGCGGTGTTTCTCTCCAGAAAAAAAAAAAAAAAAAAACGAAAAGGGCGTTCCAAAAGGAGAATGTGAAGCGGTAAAATGGGGGATTCGGACTTTTCCATCACCCAGACCATGCAAGATGGCGTTTCCATCAGAAGCTGTCGTCGCCTCCCGTGTGGAGATCCATTTTGGTCCGCGCCGAATGATCGGGCCAGTTTGTGGATGGCCGAGCCTGGGATGCGGGAGGCGTGCCTCCAAAGCCCTGGCTGGGCTACATTGACGCCTTCACGGTCCCGCCTCCCTCTCACCTGTGCATGGTGGGCGGGCGCACTTCTGCTGATTGCTTGTATGCTGGCGAACAATACCACGCCTTGTGTGCTTTCGGCCACTGCTCAATCTCCTGGACCAGATCTGCCCTTACGCTGTGCCGCTTGGTGTTGCGCGGGTTCAGTGCTGGCAGCTTCTCGGCGGCATGGGCCATTGCCGCTTGGAGTGGGTTTACATGTGCCCCGCGGATCTTCACCCTGCTTCATCAGCAGGCTGACCCTGCCCGGCGGAGATTGCGGGATTGTCCACTTTACTGGGGACCCTGCTTGTGTTTGGGAACCCAGCGACAGCATGCTTTCCGTGCTTTGATCCTTTTCGAAGCTTTCATACGTGGGTCGGGGCAGTTGCAGACGTCTCGTTTTCTGGGAAGAGATGCCCATTCCGGACGACGTGGATGCGACGCAGCTGCGTCCGTGCCATCTTCGGGCTCTCCCGGCAGCCGCTCTTCCCATTGGACAAGTCCCATGCGAAAATGGTCCCGGGACGCGCTGCCCTGGTTGGGACGGCCCAAGAACCGAACAGGGCTCCAAAAGGAAAACGTGAAGTGGTAAAATTGGGGATTCGGACTTTTAAAAATGGGAGTTCCGTTTCGTGTCCCTGCTTCGGAGGTGCAAATAACTGGCGCAAGCAACCTGCCTCTATTCCGATGGCCCAAAAAACAGACTGGGGAATGTGTGAACATCATTTAGGTGGAGATTCATGTCCACAAACCGCATTTGGTGTTCCGTGGCTACATTCCGCGCCAAAAGCGCTTTGTCCACGAAATCCACGCCAGGTACCACTTGGGATTGGTCGTCTAGCAACCCATCTTCATAGGAGTCGTGGAATTGCCTATCCGCAGTTCCAGCTGCACCTTCCATCGATCCTTCTCTACAAATTGGGAAGATGGGTTCGTTCGGACGGGGCCATGGAAACCTGAGACCCTAGGAATCAACCCTAGGAATCCACCCTAGGAATCCAAGCGGTGTGTCCGTTTTCCCCGCGAAGCGGGCCTGGTCTCGGGGGCACAAACTTGTAGTCCCCGGCATCCTGACATCGAGGAAGGAGCCCCCGACATGGCGACGGCCGGTTTGCTTGGCGAAGACCCTAAACCAACCACGAGGAGACCCAGAACACCGCGCGAAGACCAAAAGAGGGGGCCAAAAATATCACACGAAAAAGACTCCTCCCAAAGACAAAAGGGCAGAACGCGGCGAAGCCAAACAAACAACGTGCAGCTCATGTTCAGGCAAGCAGCGCTCGGCAGAGTGGCGGAGCGGCTCCTGAACAGTGGCAGGTAAGCGGCTGCTTTGCGTTCCTCATCCTCATTGAAACATCAAAGTGGCACAACAAGAAGGAGGAACATGCTCTCCTTGAGCTGTATTGGTTGCATGTGACAAAGGCAAACCCCAACGACCCAAACGAGCCGTGGAGATGGTCATGTTCTCACGAGGGTCATTGATTTAATTCAAGAATTATGGCTATGACGAGGTTTAGAATGGTTACTCTCTCTTAAAGACATGGCTGCCCTCATTCAAAGGATAGATCATTCGAAGCAAACCAGCTGCTCTCGCGTCATTTTGGCCCCACATTCTGGCTCAGCCCAGCGGCGACGTGTAGAGCTCGTTCAAAGGCGAGTTCCGCACGCGGCGGCCATCCGTGAAAAGGATGGCCCCGATATTCCGACCCAAAGTGCAGACCTCGGTTTTTGGGTTTGTCTCAAAATACGGGGGAATTCGCCGCAAAATCCGTGGCTTTTCTCGGTTTCCCCTGAAAGCAGCCCAAAAAAAGGATGCCCGCAAAAGAATACACACCCTAATTTGGGTTCAGGCAAATGCGCGGCTCTCACGCAAGCAAGGGGGGAACGAAACGAGGGAAGTCTGCAGGCCACACCCCTTTGATTCGGTGGTGGAAACAACCCTGGACCAACAGCCCAAGCAAAACGTTTACCTGGCTGTACTTCTTGGCAACCCCCTTTTTAGTTGGTTTGAAAGGGAAACCCAAAGGCAAATAACCACTGCAGGGGTCCAAGATACAAACCCAAGTCCCTTTGAGGAAGAGCGAAAAGGTCAACCTCTGACACACAGAGGCAGCTGGCAGCCAGGGCCGTGGCCAAAACTGTCTTCTTTCCTCGGTGCCAAAGGGCGGCCAGCTGCCCACTCCAAGCATGGAACATGGGGCGAAACTGGCCACCCCTTTTCTTTTGTTGGAAAAGAGTATGAGGAACCCCCCATCTAAAAAGAAGAAAACGGGATCAACCCTGTGGGGGATCTGTCTCCAAAGTGGGCCAGCCCTACCCAGTTCTCCACAACCATGCGCTGAACAGAGAGGGCCTTTCCGCCAAACCCCTTCCTCAGCTATGAGTCAGCATGCGCAAAGGCTGCACCGAGCCGCTCCAAACATCCTTGCTTCTGCTGCCGCCCCACACAAGTTCGTGGTATCCTCGCAACATGAGATTGGTCAAGGCAACAAATGCCCCACATAGCTTGTCACATGCGCATGAATCTCAGTTCGCTTCGCATACAGCCCCGCAAGCCCCGAGCTGGTCGTTTGGATTGGTGGGGATTGCAACCCCTTCGGAAGAAGTGGGTTCTCCCCCTCTTCCAAACCTCTAAACCCTGGGGCTGACTCGAGAAAAAGCACGGAGAACATGGCCCGGTCCAGCTCCCACGGTGTGTATCTCTGTGTGGAAGAAGGTCACGGGGCCCTTCTTCAGCAGGCACTGCCGCAGCAGAGTCTCCACCTCAACATTCGCCTTACCCCCAATTGGTGCTGTTGTTCGGAAACCCCTTCCCCATTCGCTGTGGTGCTGCACTTTGGTAGTTGGTCCACGGCACATAGACGGCCGTGGGGTTTTAAGCTGATTGGGTGGTGGGGGGGGGAATGGGGGGGTTGAAGGGGGGGATTGGGGGGGGGGGGATGGGGGGGTGGGGGTGTGGATGAAACTACGTTCGTCGGCACGCGCCGTGCTTTACGTGAGCCCATCGTACACGCAGCAGCGGACCTGGGGGGGGGGGGGGGAAGGGGGATGTAAATATGTTCGTTGCCGTGTCACCATACATTTGGACTATGTTTTGCTTTTGAAAGTGGAGGGGCATTTTCTGTTGTGCAGAGGGTTCACACAAGTAGCAAAAGGAAACCCTTGCAGGAATTGGTATATAAACGCATGTGTATAGAGATATACATATGTATATATATATATATATATATATATACATATATATATATATATATTATGCTACCCCCCCCCAAAAAAAAAAAAACAAAATGATCTGTGGTGGGAATGAACAGAATCTGGAAAGGATGGGATTCTTCTTGGCATAACATTAATTCCAGGAGATGCATTGGAGAAAAGGCAACAATAAGAGCCATGAATATTAAATTGCAATGGTAAAGAGAGAGAGAGAGAGAGAGAGAGAGAGAGAGAGAGAGAGAGGGAGAGAGAGAGAGAGAGTGGGTGCGTGTGTCGTGTACATAAGGATGAAAGTAATCAATTCTTAGTACCAACAATCTATTCTCCATTGAAGATAATTCTAGAGAAGATAGCAATTATAGCTCCTAAAGAAAGAACACAATAAACATGTGCTACAAAATAATTTGTGTCATGCAATCCTAGATCCACTGCAGGATTTCCTAGATTCCTAAGCCTTACAAGTTTAAACCAGTGAATGAAATAATATAATAAAACAAGAAGGAAGTCAGACAGATTGAGCTTGAGACCTGAAGAAGCCTACTTGGCAGATGTGGTTTTGCTAGATCAGACAAGCAGGAAAATCGAAGAAGAAAAAAAGAAGGGGAAAAAAAAATCCCGTGGGAGAATGTCTGCCAGCTACCTTTCCCTCAGGGAGTATGGTTTTTCTGTTGTTGTTGTTCCGTGTTTTTCCCGGTTTTCCGTTTTTTCCTTTTTTTTCCCGGTTTCCAGCTACCTGTCCCTCAGAGAGTCTGGTTTTCCGATGTCTTGCTTTTTTTTGAGGGTCTGCCAGAGCATGAAACGTCCAGAGCAATTGCCCTTGGAACTGCCTTTTTTTGCGTCTTTTTCAGACCCCCCAAAAAAAGCCAAAATTCACTGGAAATACCAGTACTTGAAGGTGAGGAAGGCATAACCAACAAAAAAAGGATAATGGTGGAATCAATGTCCATCCTGTACCACCTCCAAATTCTGAGGCTAAAGAAAGGAGTAAGACAAGAAGTGAAAGTAAAGGAATTGTGATAGAAACAGTTACTGACTCTAGTAGCCATGAATGTTAAATTGCAATGATAAAGAGAGAGAGAGAGAGAGGGAGGGAGGGAGGGAGGGAGAGAGAGAGAGAGAGAGAGAGAGAGAGAGAGAGTGGGTGCGTGTGTACATAAGGATGAAAGTAGTCAATTCTTAGTACCAACAATCTATTCTCCATTGAAGATAATTCTACAGAAGATGGCAATTATAGCTCCTAAAGAAAGAACACAATGAACATACGAAGGCTCTCGACATGCAAAATAGTGTTCGCTGTGTCTTTGCAAGTAGTTGCACCCCATTGCGAAACAGTCCTCGAACTCTTGAATAACGTGGCGCTCGTGGGACGAAACATAGGTTTGCATGTGAAATTGCGTGTAATTGCGGCCCAGAAGGGTGTGTCTCAGGAAAACACGTTCCCCCCATGGAATTTACAGCGCATGAGCGCAGAGGCGGTGACGTGCATGAGAAAACCACACGGCCGGCTATGTGCCGTAGACCTTGGTAGTTGCCTTCTTAGGGGTAGCCCTTCCTCATTGGGTGAATCCCAAAGGCTACTGGGGTTCAAGCCCCCCAAACCAGGCCATCCAACTCAAACCACCTTCCTGCCCGCCTTCTGGCGCCGCGTGAGGTAGTCCTCGTCCTTATCCTCCGAGAGAGACCCCATGATGGCCTCGGGAGCTTGTCACTTTCAAGATTCCCAGAAAAGTCAATGTCTGAGATGGTTTCCACTAAAACCATCTGGGAAGAAACACAAAGGAGACCTGATTTACAAAAGATTCGGGTGCCGGTAACGCCAGCTAGTGCAAGCTGTCAACTGTGACATTGTCGGCTGCGCTCTCGTCGGTGGTTTGGATTGGTGGTTTGGTGGTCTTCTATCCACCCTCGACAAGAACCCGGGGTTCGACTCCCCAAACCATCAATCCAAACCTCAAAGAAAGTGCTACCTGACATCGGCTGGTGCTCTGCCGGGCCTTGGTTACGGAGACCCCAATGACCTTGTTCCACCCGAAGTGCTTCCGCAATTTCTGGAGCGTGCCTGCGCAGGCAAAAATCCGCTCACCCACCCGTAAAAGAGCGCTAAACAACTAACACCACAAGTACCCAGCTGGGCAAACTAAAATAACCAACTCAAAATAAGGGACCCCGGAAAAAGGGACCTTCGTCATGGCTGACGTTGCAAACCGCCTATTGACATCGCCACAATTCGCGAAGATCTATGCGGTACAGGTTTGAAGGGGTTCATTGCACGACTTCTGAGCCCACCCTTTTGGCTCCGCAACAGGCCGCGCTGCACGCGTCGCGCTGCACGCGTCGCGCTGCACGCGTCGCGCCTGTGACCGTCGCGATATTCTTTTTCACGTCAGGACCGAGCTCGTGCTTGATCCGGAACGGCTCACCTCAGGCGGCGACCCATCTGAGATTCTTGGAAGCCGACGGCGGGCTGCTGCAAGGCGAGTTGCTATTGATGCTGCACATTGCATGTGGGCCTGTGTTTTTTCTGGGCACCCTCTTCTTTCGGTCCTTTCAAAGGTAAACCAAAAAGCAAGCCAAACATTCAATCATTCCAATCCAAGTTCCCCTATTTTGCCCCAAACCCTTTAGTGTTGCGCTCTCAACCTCCTTGCATCTGCGAAACAAGCGGTGCAGCACCGGCAACCGCTGCAATCTCTGGTTGATTCCCCAGTCACCATCGTTCTTTTCAAGAACCGGATCAGGTTTCCCTGGGCTTTTTGACGGTAGAAAAGACTCGGATCCCTGGGAAAGAATGGAAATGGAAGCTACCCCTAGAGCTAAAAGTAAATGGGAAACATGAGGAACCCTCTTGGATAATTTTGGTTTCTGTGGACCAATGGAACCAAAAACGATGAAGAAGAAAAACAACTCGCCAACCGCAGCCATCGCTGCCATCGCTGCAATCCGAGGGGCGGGTCAGCTCCCCCGTCTGCACGTTCACCGGGGCGGCGTAGCCGCTGGTCTGCCGCAGCTCCACGCCCAAGGCCTCCACCTGGGCGCTCAACACAGACCCTTTTCACTACTCGGAAAAGAAGAAAATAATGCGCAAAAATGGCCATAGTTCGGGTACCACTCAAAACCCGGCAAAATGGTCGATCCCCAGAACCATGTGAAGAATTAGGAAGGCGGCCGCAGCTATTATGGTTGGGATTGTCTCATCTACCCGGGTTTCGATTGTGGCTCACCTGGCTGTGAACCTTCAGAGTCGGAAACACCCTGGAAAATGGGTGGAACATGGAAGGAAAACGGCTGGAACATGGGTGCAAAACTGGTGGAGCGTGGAGGGAATGGTGGAGAAAGTTGTGAAATATGAAAGGTGAAAAAGGTGACAAAACGCTTGGTGGACATAAATCTCAAAGGAACTGCCTTGGAAAATGGTTGGCTCTTTCCCGTGAATGTGATTGCAGAATACACTCATGCTCTTCCGAATTCGGGGCGGCCCCTTGAAGGTTGCCGTCCACCCATGTGTTGCGTCGGCGGAAGAGGAGAGTAAAAGCAACCACCCCAGCGGAGTCCGCACCTTGGGCAGCTCCGAGATGGAAACCTCGGGAGGCAAGAAGGGAGCGAAGGTTGGCCCACGAGTTTACTCCAAAATCCCCGCTTGATTCAGTTGTCCATGGTAAATACCTCTTTGTTGAGTCAGGGGTTAACATTACACCCCAACATAAAGGTGAAGGTGAACATGTGTGCGGGTGTATGTATTAGGAGGGAAAGCTCGACGAGTTTCCACCAAAGTTCTGCGCTCCCAAAAATGCTGCCCAGATTCCAAAGCTCCAGTCCTCAGAGCGATCTGGACCACACATGCAAAGCCCCGCCCTTGTTCTTCGCAACACTGGTTTTCCTTTGAAACCCGTCTAACAGAGATGCCGCACCTGGAGCTTACCCAGCGGCCATGCACCAATTCCAGACCTATCAAAAGGGAGCTTCTTCCCCACACAGCCAAGTGAGGCCCTTTTCAAATCCCTGATATGATCAAGGCTCGGGGTTCGATTTGAGATCCCCAGTCTCCGACTTTGGATGGGCTCAAACAGCTAAACACAAGCACAAAACCGGCTGACAGTCTTCTACCACAATCTTTCAACAGGTTTACGTCTACAAATACACAGGCCTTGCTACAACCCTCGTGTAACCAGCAGAACCACCTGGGCGGTCAACATTAGGGACCCTTTTCGGTGCTTTTGGAATGCGGCACCTTTGGCGGCTCAAAAAAAAAAGAAAAACTACAAAGAATACTGAGGATGGCCTGCACCACCTAGCAAACCCTGGAAGGATGATTCTCCTGTAAATACCAACAACCATTGTTTTCCATAGTTTCAACGTGGTGCATGATTTCGTCCATCCACAGTAGTTCGGGTGCTCACGTGGCGTGAATTTTGATAGGGATGCCATGGACATCTTAAAAACGTGGGGTCTTCATGTCCGCCAAGCATTTGTGCGGATCCCCCATACCCAAATTGAGAAAGGTTGGCGAATTCATTGCCGAGGCTCTCATTTGGCGCCGACAGAGCTGTTCGCTCCTGATGCTGGACTCGTTCTAGTGGGCAAGGCGCTCTGTGTGCGCAAACCAACCCTGAACCAAAGCTAAATCCAAACCGACCAAAACGAATTCCCAAACCAAGCCCAAACCAACCCTAAACCAACGCAAGCCAACGCCAACCCAACCCTAAACCAACCCTAAACTAACCCTAAACTAAGCCTATGCCAAACCCATCCTAAAATACAACAACCCGGCACAGGACCACAAGGCGAGTTTCTGCTTACGCGCCGGCCGATATGACGTGACACTTACTAAACAAGCACACGGAAGTTTTGGACTGTGCTCACCTGCCCCATATCCAATGTCTTCATTCGAAGTAGTGTCACTTGGCCAACGTGAGAATGGCATAGTGACCTTGACACAATGTATGCCATGGGTCAAAAGCCCGTACCCCCAATGAACATCCCAATCCCCACTAAAATGGACTAAAATGGGTGGTGAATTCACCTACCCCAAAATGGGATCCCATTGGTCTTGAGCCACAGCCATCTCCACTTGCCATTTTTTGGGGCAGACGCTTTGGGGCCCCCTCCGGCTCCTCCGCCCGCAGGGCTTTTCCCCTCCGAGCCGTCGCCAAGCCCGCACCCGCCGCCGAGAGCAAAACCTGGCCATCGAAGCTTTCTTTGGCTTCCCCTTGAAACCCCAGAGGCGCGAACCTTTTGCCTTTTGCCTCAAAATGTTAGAAAAAAAGAGGTTCTCAACCTTCCAAGGTGCTTCCTTCGTGGTGTCCTTTTTTTCACCAACCGAGAAAGGGGGAGTCAACCATCTTGAGAAAGGATACCCCACAGGTGGACACGTCTGTCTGTTTGCCTCAAGGATCTTGGTCCTTGAGGGGCAGGATCTCCGTTGGCTTACGGGGAGTCGGAAGTGTCGAGAGGCTGGATGGGCTTCAAAGCTTTCCTGGAGAAACTGAGTCGTCATCCATGTGAAAGGCTCCATCCGCCTAACTGAGGCCCAAAACCCACTGGCTTTCCGTCCTACCATCAGAAGGATCCAGCAAAGGCCTGACCATCTTCCCATCCCAGAACCCGATTCAATTGGAGTGTCAGCATATCCCGCCAGTTCCCAAGCTTCACCTCGACCGAGCAGAGTTGACCCTCCCGGCCTTCACAGAGCCCGATCCGCACGCCTCACATGCTTTCACGAAGGAATTGCAGCCGTTTTCAGGCAAATGTCGCAGGCTTGACCCCCAATCTCTTCAAACCTTTTGCTTGTTGCTTCAACAAAAATCCTTTTGACCCTCACACAAGGGGCGCCAAGGGCGCTTTTTGTGGAAACCAATCCGTGCACCGACTCCGACTCCGACGACTCCCCGCCTGCGATCGGCGCACGCGCCGCGCCCGCGGCGCGTCGGCGGCCGCTGGCGGCCGCCATGGCAGCGGAGCCCAGGAACCCCTGCGCCGAAGAGCTCGGCGGGTTTCGCGTCCTTTGGACCCCACACAATGGCCTCGGAAAAAAACCGTGGTCCTGATGGCTTCCCCGCAAATGGAAACCCAAGCAGGTGGGGGTGGTGTTCCCTGAAAAAATAGAAGACCACACCCAAAAATCGGCCGGGATCCTGGCATTTGTTGAGTTTCACCCAGCCTTTGTCTCCTTTTCAAGGGCAACCAGAGGCCAACACCTTCTTACGCAGACCTCTGCGAGCTTTGCACCAAGGCGGGAACCAAAGTTTCACCCCGGACGCGCCTCCATGGCTCCAGGCTGGCCATGCCTCGGAGCCTCAACACAAGACCCAGATCATATGGCTATGAATTTTAATAAGGGACCCTTTGGTGGACATCATTTAGGTGGGGATTCATGTCCACCAATCACTTTTGAGGTGGTTTCCTATTAAAATTCATGGCCATATGAGAGAGAGAGAGAGAGAAAAAAAAAAAAAAAACAAATAGAAATAAAAGGAGGGAGAGGGAGGGAGGGAGGGAGCGAGGGAGCGAGGGAGCGAGGCAGAAAGAAAGGGAGGCAGAGCATAGGGGGGCACACACACACACACACCCACGCACACACGCACGAGCGCACCAACTTCAATCCCTCCCCTCGTTGAATACATCGCCGAGTGGCGCAAAGCTGAGCACCGGCAGGCCGCCGAGCCTTTAGTCCTACCCTAACCTCGTCGCCCGAAGTTGGGGGCTCCACAGCTGCGGTGAGCGAGCGCGTGGCATGGGGCAACGTGGCGCTCTGCTTCCCTTTGCAACTCCAAACGTGTTGCCATGAGAAGACCCACCCATGAAGTGGCACATGTGACCATCTGCGAATCGATTCCCCATCTCTTGGTTAAAGAGCAACAAAAAAAACAGCATGACGGTCCAACCAAACAAATGAAACAAGAAACGCACTGGATACTGCTTCAATGCTTCCACCAGAACGGATCTCAAAGTTCCTCTCGCGGTGTCCCTTGACAACCTCCGAACCGACGTGGGACCATCTAGTCGAGGCCAACAACCCCGGCACTCGCGGGGTGTCCTTGGGAACATACCGTTGGTTTCCAGCCCTTAAATCTGTTCTACGCAAACATCTGCAAGCGTAGTGCGAACAAGAAAGAACCTTATCCTTATAGAAAGAACCAGAAGAACGAAGCAAATCCATCATATTTATCTTGGCGGGCACTAGCTTCTCCAGTTTTGACCCACCCTTGTGCCCTCGGGCGCCAGGCCCTGCTTCCCTTCCCGCAGCGCCTTCAGCTTCCTCCGCCCCTGGAGCTCCGATTTGTCCGATCGAAGGTGGAACTTGTAGGCACGAAATAGACCGAGCTCGGCGATTCATGTCCCGCCATTTGTGGGGCTCCCTCTTGAAAAAATCAGAGCCAGATCACGAAACTTGGCAATCCTAGGTTGATTTCCGCCTTCCTCCGGGGGTTGATCATACCCTCCAAGTTTGTGTGAGCATGAATATTAATTGGGGACACTAGATTAACAATATCAAAAGACAAAAATGTCCATGATTGGGAAACCCGCCAAGCAAGAAGGGATTGAAAGGGTGAAACTGAACACCCGGACTATGTAAGGCATGGTTGTCAGAGTTTCGAGTCCAAAACTCGCCCTTCCATACCATAAAAAAGGTCCCCTTTTCCAACACAAGAAACACAACCTAATTACAATTAGTACTTTACAAAGATGCTGTCTCCCAATTTGTCGGGGGCAATGGAAAACCCTTTTGGAGCTGTTCATATCATGATGGTGGGAAAAGGTCGCAACTCTTTGGCAAATTGAACTATGTTTGTTTTGGGGGCAAGGAAAATGATGAACTCAACTGCACCGAGTGCAACCTGAATCACTCTGCATGTTCTACAGTACATCGAGACCAGAAATATGGACTGGATGTCTAAGTAAAGGTCTTATATCATAGCTCGTTCAGGGGGTTCCCCCTGATCTCCACACTAGCACCGCGCGGCACGATGGAAGCGACAAAACCCACCGCGTGGAATGAAGGAAGTCTCGACTGGGCTTCACCGACTGACTGATGACGGATGTTGGTCATTCATAGCTGGAGCACTCGACTTGCATAAGTCACCAACGCGCCTTGCATTTTGCATCCGTGTTGCAATTCACAACTCCGGGGTGGTCTCTGAACTGGGGCAGCCACAAAGAAAAGTCAAACACTCTCGATGAAACTGCTCTCTGGCAGAACTCATCCTGGGTTACAAACACATTGAAACAAGGCGAGCATCCACGTGCCCGTTTGGGCAGTGGAGCCATCGTCGTGACTTCGTGATCGCCTTGAACAGCAAACCCAGGCGATCTGCAGACTGCATTCACATGCAAACCAAGCTCTCAGGAGGTACTTTGTACCAGCATTGCCTTTCCAGCTCAGTTCTTCCCAGCTTCTCACACTTGCCTTGCTGCAAAAGTTTCCGAAACAATGGACAATTTCAGGACATCCGAAAATCTATGAGCCGGACATGTACTTGGCAGGTCTCTTGTCGATGTCATCAACGGATCCTGAGATCTCAGACCGCAGATATCTCTCACTGTCTCTCTCATGGCACGACTGAGGCTGGGGCCGAAGACGGCCTTAGCTCCGATACGCGAGTGCGTGTGAACCGTCCAAAGCGCTCCATGGACACGAGAAACGAAGTCCCCTGGATTGGATCAAAATGTCGTGACTCCGCCCGTCCGGCCACGTCCGAGCGGCGAAAATGAAGGAGGAGACCTCAGCTGCGCGAAACGAACGAGCCAGTTCGCGCGATCTCTGCAAAACCAGCGGCGGATCTCTGAATGAAATGCCCGCAGCTTTCCTTGGAAACCAACCTGAAAAGAGCCTCCACGTCTTGAGACAGACCCAGCTCGACCTTTTTGGGGCTGGAGGCCCGAAAAGGGAACGCCTCCCGGCGTAGAGAGTGGTTGGTTTTCCTGGTGTTGCCTGTTGGGTTCCAAGCGCAAAGCATGCATGTCACTTTAGGAGCTTCCCCTTTGCTTCCAGGTGGTTGTTTGCAGGAACGATGGTTGGAAGGAAGAGGAATCCACCTCTAGCATAGACATATCATATCATGGTCTACTGGCAACACATAACTTACCTTGGGCTTAGCATTGCTCCGCCTCCTCTAGAAGAAACATATCATATCACTAGCATCATGTTTAACACATCCTCCGTCAGCTTCAAGGACTGGAATAACACATCCTAGAGTACCACGATAATTTATTAAACATATCATGGAACCTTCGTCCTTCTTACTCTGGTTGCCAAACAAGGACTTGAGCCACGGTCACAACTAGTCGCAACAAGATGACTATTCGGGCTCGTCCCTTGGTTTGTGTGGGGAACTAAGAGCTCGTCCCCGCTTCTCAGTCTTAAATGAACCCTAGACTGGAAATTCCGACCGAACCTCACTTCGAACATTTTACCTTTTCCTTTTGGCTTCTCCTTCCCAGACCAAGCACAAGGGCCCCCCCCCTTTGAAAAAAAAAGCGAGCGAGCCACAGTCTGGACTTCGGAAAAGTCAGGTGGCCACCAAGCAGGCGCCGATGATGCCCCACACGAGGGACCACATACCGGTGGACCGCAGCAGCAGTGCCACCAGCGCGGGCCCGGCCGCCCCGGGCAAGGTCGCCTGGGCTTGGATCAGGGTGGGATGGCCAGGTGCAAAGGTCGAGGCTTCCCAGTTGGGGCCACCTTCTTGCGGCTTCTCGTTTCCCTAAGGTGCTGCGGAAAAAAAAAGTTAAAAGAACAAAAGGAAAACACTAAGTCTTGGAAAGGGAAATACCGAAAAAAGTACTCCCAAAAACGTCTTGGGCTGGAAAGCAATCCTGTCTTGGAACAAAGTAGGTCCGCGGAATGTGGCTTTGTGCTGGAGGGAGGGAGGGGGGGGAGACCCTTACGCTCGGGGCTGGAAAGTGACTCTGCCTGAAACGGAGACCTAAGAAAATGGGTGTGTCGTGTCTTTTTTGGGGACCCCTCTTTTGGCTTTTCAGGCGAGACCAAAACGAAAACCCGCATTTAAACAAAACAAATATTATATTTAGAAAAAACATGTTTGGTTTACGCTTGGTTTCCCTTCAACTCGCTCCACCAAAGGCGGCGAAGAGGGGGTTTCCCCACACCAACGATCGTTTGGGGGTTCTCGAAGTCGTGCCCCCCCCCTTTGGTAGAAGGGCAGCTGAAAGGAAAACTGTATTCGAATCAAGCAAAATGCCTTTCGAAACCACGAACCACGGGTGCACTTGTCCGTAGCGGCATAGGCATGCAGACAGAGATCTAGATACAAATAGATATCTATAATATATCTACATATATATATATATATAGTACGTGTATATATATATATAAATGCACACCGCCCCACCCAACCATCCCGCGATGGACTGGCGTTTGGGTCGGTATCACAGTAAACATGTTAGAGCCGAAAGATCAAATTGACTCAAATTGGGAGAGCCGCCTTCCTTCCTTTTTCAATCCCTTGTAAGCTCGAATCAAAAAAAAGTCACATCACCTGTTTAAGCAGCTTGAAAGTCACATTTGTTCATTACAAATGTAGTACGCAAAGTACACTTTGACAGATTCGACATTTCTGAGATGTCACCCTAAATTGTGAGTAAATTGTAGCGTCCCCCCTCAACCTCAAAAAGAAACCCGGTACGGACAAGTACAGAGTGTTCAACCTCATGCTCCGGTTTGTTTGGGGGTCCAATGTTTAAGCCATTTTTGCAAGGAATCAAGCACGTTAATGTCAACCTAAGTTTACTAAATGGCCCCCAAGTCGACCCTCCAAAGCACAACATTGATAAAGCACCCAAAAAGCTCACATTAATAAAGTTCCCCGAAACGCGGGGGCGAGCCAAACAAGTGTTTGTTGTATCAGGGAGCAAACCAGTCCAACATGATTCAGCAGGTAGCGCGCAGAAGTTGATGGCACAGAGACACATGCAACAAGTGTGCAGCGCACCAGGCAAGGTAACTATATAAAAGGAACCTTCAAAGGCCAGCAGACCTCAGATCTCCAAAAAACACATGCCCGGAAAGTGCGGCTTTTAAATACAGTCTCTTTACAAAAGTGATGTCCCTGGACTCCAACATGAGGTACCCCACACAAGCTCCCAAAACCCGCATTAGTAAAAGGGTTCACATTAATAAACACCCCAAAGCGACCCCTAGGAAGAACTAGGTATTGGTTGAGAGGGGGGACTACTACAACTACTACTACAAGTACCACAGCTACAAGTACTCCCAGTACCAGAAGCAGTACTACAAGGACTACTACAAGTACTACAGCTACTACTACAAGTACTACAAGTACTAGAAGCCATACTACAGGCACTATTGTTGTTTATTACCGTACTTTGCCCGAAATAAAATATATAAATAAAAACAGTTGAGCGGGGGGGCCCCGTTTACTAATATGAAGTCGGCGTCAAAGCGCTTTAGAGCTGACGACGGCGCGTCAAGCGCGCTATTCGTTGAATTTTAAGATTCAAGATTCTCAGCACTAAGCGTTTTAAGGCAGTTTGGCCTGGAGTGATAAATTCAAGGTTTAATTTCTAAAACTAGTTTTGAATCATGAATCTTGAACCCGAGATGTGGTAAACAGATTATACTTAGGTGTTTGACTCCTTTCAGAAAATGGGCTAAACGTGGTGCCCCGGAAATCTGGCACATGCGGCTCGCAAAACCTGCATATCATTTGTCTGTGCTTCTGGGGTGCAAGCAAACCAGGGGGGGTATTACGCCTGTGTGTACCTCAATGTCTCCATAAACCATGACTTCACTCAGCTTGTAGTTTGGATTCTCATTTACCCTCCATCCCAACCCAAGCCAAACCACAAGTGTTGCCTCACTTACCGGGCTCGCAAAACCCGCAACCAAGCCGCCCGCCCTTCGCGGAATTTCTTCCGCCTGCCGAACCCGCCAGGGCCCCGGCGATGCCGTTGCCCAGGCTCACGAGCCCCGCCGCGTTGCCGGGGGCCAGGTCCAGGTACACCGCGTTCTGCACCGTGTCCAACACTCCGATGGACCTCGCGCGGCGCGGCTACGCGTGGCGTGCATGGTGAAGGAAAGCGGAAAGGAGGAAAGAGGTAAGCAGACGGTGGATATGTCCTTTTGGCCGAGCCGTTAAATACGGGTTTGGCTGGGCCGGAAAAGGAAGTGGCAAAATGGAGGTGAAAGAATTTTGTTCAGCCTTCCTTTCCCAATTGATGCTTGGATTGGTGGTTTGGAGGCGCTCTCGGGGTTGTTCGCCATGTTGTTTTTCCAGGGGATCAAATCCCCTAACCAGAGCAAACCACCCATTGCAGGCTACGACTGCTTTCTTAACCCTCCAAGAAGCCGAAAAAGAACACCGGTTCTATTGGGGGTCCCATGTTTCTTCTGAAAACACATGTTTGTGTGCGGGGGGGGTCCCAATTTGTTGGTGCCACTGTGAAAACTCCGAATCTCTGAGTCATGGACATGGTGCCCATGACCTTACACTTGCCAGACTGCCCGTTGAGGGATCCGTGACTCTCCCCAAGACCGCGCAAAAGCGTGGGGAGTTGTCTCCAGTCGCCCAATGTGGGCAGCAAATTCGCAGCGCTGGAACCTCTAGCAACTTTGCGTGGGGAGTTATCTCCACGAGCCAACTCAGAGCATTAGGCATGTGGTTGGGTCTCAAAAGCAGTCCTGCAAAATGCGCTTCTGCCTCCCTTCGAAATTCCCCTTCAAACCTTGCGTCAACATAAACGTAGCCAGAAAAGAAACAAGAAGAAGACATAAACCGGGCAATTTCCCCACAGAATGACGACGCTCCGAAAGGAAAAACAAAAAAGACCCCATCTCCAGCCAAGCGGCAGCGCCGCCACGACGATGGCCACGGAGGCGGCCAGGGCGCTGCGCAGGTTCCCGAAGCTCGCCTCGGCCACTCGCCCGGCCCTAGCCCCCCGCTCGCAAGCCGGCGAGCCGAGCGAGCCACCGGACGTTTTATTGGGGGACGTTGGGAGCAGCGCGCTTCTGGGGAAAGACGCGGTTGCTTCCGTTTGGGCTTCCTTTGACACCACTCCAAAAAGGGTGGCAGAGATGTTCCTTTTGAGGGATTTGGACCCCGAGATTTCGGCTGCAACCAGAGCTCTTAAAACAAATCTACCGTCAAGTTAGCGTTCGGAGTGTCAGAAGTGTTGGCTTGTGAGTGTGCCTTAAAATACGAATTGGACGCCAACACTTTGGCTTTGCGAGACCCTCTGCAAGCACGGGGTGCTTTAAGCCAGCCCCCACTCCCCCCTCCCCCGGCAAGAGCAGCCCCTCTATTTCACCGCAAGAGCAGCCCCTCTGTTTCACCCGAGCCGACTGTTGGTGCCAACATGGTATAAGTTCCTTTGCTTGATCTTGGTTAACCAGGCAACCCATCCCCACCCACTGCCATGAGCAATCGATCGTGGGCGCTCAACCTGGCCCCCAAAAACGGCGAGGCGCCAGCGCCACGCCAGCCACCACCAGGGCAGGGCATAAGATCCTGGGAGAAAAGAAAACAAGAAACGAGTCTTGGGTGCATGGGGGGTGGTTGAGGTTTTTGCATGCTAAAACCCACCATGCTTTCGCCAAAAGTGTGGTTCTTGTCCGTCAAATGCCAATCATTCCTGTTGGCCGTCCATTTTTGAGCTCAAGGTCCTCGAAAACACCCTTCTGGGATGCCTTCCTTTAGGAAAAAAAACGCAACGGGTCATGTGGGGTCCGACCCATTTGGAGAAAAAGCGAGCTGCACTCCCATGGAAGCTCACAAAAGCTTTAGAGGCCTTTGGGAAACCCTCACATACGTAAAGAAGGTTACGCCTTCCTTTGGGGGAACCCTTGAGTTGATCTAGGGACACCAAGGACACCAACCCCGGCTCAAACCAAAGGCATCGGTCCCACGCCGCATCTGCAGCGGCGCGCAGCGCCGGCTTTGCAGCCAATCTGTCAGGAGACCGCCGATGACTGAGCCAATGCCTGCACCCACGTGGCGCAGAGGAATGACCACGGATCGAGCAAAAAAATGGCCCCCGAAAACAGAAGCTGTGTGCAACCTAGTTCCCTCACTTCCTGAGTGGGTTGGGTAAAAGAGCCCGGACTGGTCTTGTGTCACCGATCTTCAAACAAAGTCACTAGAGACGGTCGACTAGTGAAGGCATCGATGCATGCCCCAGGCTCTTCCCCAAGTGCCAAGCGCCAGCTTGAATGGGAAACGTGGAAACCCCAACCTAATTAACTTCATACCCGAGTTTTGAGAGACCAAGCCCATTGACTATTTGTTCCAACATGGATACGTATTTCTATATCCGCCGACATTGCTCGGCATGTCGGACAGCCAAAAAGAAAGGATAGAGGATAACCCCCCCCCCCTGACGCCCCCCCGCCCGACGTCTGATACGTGGGGTACAAGGGGGGGGGGTGTCCCACGGACCGCGCGGCAATTTGATGACGTTCCACTAAACGTAGTCTTCGGGGAGCCGGTCGCAAAACAGGGGCCCCAGGCTCGATTCCCCCTGCCGGCTCTTTGCTGGTTTGGGGTTCCTGCCTCCTTTTGCCGAAAATCTGGAAAAACTCTGTGTTTTTGGACGTCCTAATGAAAGGGAAACAAAGCACAAGGAAACCAATCGGCACGACGGGAGATGTAGGGAAATGACTCGCAAAGAAAGAACGGGACACACATGGAAAATGAAGCGGACATACCGAGAAAATGTCAGGGACATGAAGGGGAGTTGAAAGGCATGGAAGGGACATGACCAGGACATCATTGGAAACGTGTCAAGGACATGAAGGGGAAATCACGGGGAAAGCCAGTAGTCAGATGACAGTTCAGGGTCATGAAGGGGCAGTGCCCGGACATCGAGGCAACTCAGAGCGCACGTGAGGATTGGGAGCAGAGGGAGGGAGAGAGGACGACAGAACACACGAGAAAGAAAAACAAGAGAGGAAGAAGGAACAACGTCGGCAGACTGAGCCGGAGGCTCTAAAATAGAAATATATGTTTATGGAGGCCTTTCTACAACCCCCATGAAGCCAAGTAGTAGAACCACATACCAAAGGCTCCCAAGTAAGTCTTGAGGGAAGCTCTCAAGACACATCCAGCCGCCTGAAAAGGCCGCCGGCAGCATGAGGTACAGCCCCACGCTTTCTAGCGGCAATTGCAGCACCTCGAGACGCAGTTGGGTCTGTCTCAGATCAGGTTGGACTCCCCAAAATGAATATAAAGCTCCCTGGGAGAAAATGTGCATAATGGGCAAAAGCTACTGTCAGAACGAACCATTCATCGCTCAATGTATTTTGAACGTCACTTTGTGAGTGTGTGTGTGTGTGCGCATGCATGTGCGTGCGCGCTTGCTCTCGCGCCCTCGTGCTCGAGCGCATGCGCGTGTCAGCGCGCGGAGGTGTGCATGCGCAGGGACGTCCGCACGCGCGTGCGCAATGGTGCAGCGTTCTTGGGCGTGTGCACTTGCTCGTGCGCGTACGCGCGTGCGTGTGCGCGCATGCGTGCGTGCATGTGCTGCGAAGGCTCGGGTGCGCTTGCGTGGGGGTGCGCGCGCGAGTCACACGAGCTTACGCGAGTGCATGCGCGTGCTGGAGCGCGTTCGCGTGCACATGAGCGTGCGCGTGCACACGTGGGTGTGGGTGTCGGTGTTTGCGTGTGTGTGTGTGTGTGTGTGAGTGTGTGAGTGTGTGAGTGTGTGAGTGTGTGAGTGTGTGAGTGTGTGAGTGTGTGAGTGTGTGAGTGTGAGTGAGTGAGTGAGTGAGTGAGTGAGTGAGTGAGTGAGTGAGTGAGTGAGTGAGTGAGTGGAGTGAGTGAGTGAGTGAGTGAGTGAGGAGAGAGAGTGTGTGTGGTGTGTGTGTGTGTGTGTGTGTGTGTGTGTGTGTGGTGTGTGTGTGTGTGTGTGTGTGTGTGTGTGTGTGTGTGTGTGTGTGTGTGAGGTGTGTGTGTGAGTGTGTGTGTGTGTGTGTGTGTGTGTGTGTGTGGAGTGAGTGTGTGTGTGTGTGTGTGTGAGTGTGTGTGTGTGGTTGTGTTGTGTGTGTGTGTGTGTTGGTGTTGTGATGTGTTTGCGTTGTGCGTGTGCGCGTGTGAGCGTGTGTGCGTGCGTGCGTCGTGCGGGCGTGCGTGCGTTAGTCGTGCGTGCGTGGGTGTGTGGGTGTGTGTGTGTGGGTGTGTGGGTGTGTGGGTGTGTGTGTGTGGGTGTGCGTTTGCGTGTGCGTGTGCGTGTGCGTGTGCGTGTGCGCGTGTGCGCGTGTGCGCGTATGCGCGTGTGTGCACGTGTGCGCGTGTGCGCGTGTGTGCGTGTGCGCGGGTGCGCGGGTGCGCAGGTGCGCGTGTGCGCATGTGCGCGTGTGCGTGTGCGTGTGCGGGTGCGCGTGCGCGTGCGCGTGCCTGTGCGTGTGCGTGTGCGTGTGCGTGTGCGTGTGCCTGTGCGTGTGTGTGTGTGTGTGGGGGTGTGTGCGTGTGTGCGTGTTTGCGTGTTTGCGTGTGTGTGTGGGTGCGTGGCTAGGTGCCTGCGTGCCTGCCTGCCTGCCTGCCTGCCTGCCTGCGTGGGCGCGTGCGTGCGCGGGCGTGCGGGCGTGCGTGCGTGCGTGCGTGCGTGCGTGCGTGGGTGGGTGGGTGGGTGGGTGGGTGGGTGAGTGCGTGTGTGTGTGTGTGCGTGGGTGTGTGTGTGTGTGTGTGCGTGTGTGTGTGTGCGTGAGTTTGCGCGTCTGTTTGTGTGTGTTTGTGTGTGTGTTTGCGTGTGTCTGTGGTGTTTGTGTGTGTGGGTGTGGGTGTGGGTGTGGGTGTATGTGTGTGTGAGTGTGTGTGTGTGTATGTTTTGTGTTGTGTTGTGTTGTGTTGTGTTGTGTTGCGTTGTGTTGCGTTGTGTTGCGTTGTGTTGTGTTGTGTTGCGTTG